CGCGTACTAAAGTTGTACTACGAAGTCGCCAGTTTTCTCAGCTTCCACTAGAAAGGCACAAAAGCCAGCGCCATCCTAAATGGTTATTTCAAATGTAAATGGATATTTCAAATTTGTTAGTGTATCATACAGGTCATACATGTCATGATTTATGGTTCAAGCTGGCGCACACTGGCCCACAGCCGCTGTCATAAGCAACCAGGCAGTCTGTGCAGCCACTGGTTCAAGCTGGCGCGCGCTGGCCCACAGCCGCTGTCATAAGCAACCAGTGAGTCTGTGCAGCCATGGAGGCGGGCACTTTACTGCAAGCTTTGGCCATCCATTCCAGAGGCTGTTGGGAAGTTGTGTGGCTCAGATGATATCACATGATGCAACACATGCCATATATGATACCACACATGTCATACATAATGCAACACATGTAACATATGATACCACACATGTCACATATAATAATGCAACACATGTCATATATGATACCACACATGTCACACATAATGCAACACATGTCATATATGATACCACACATGTCACATATAATGCAACACAGGTCATATATGTTACCACTCATGTCACACCTCATGCAACACATGTCATACATGTCACCACACATGTCACACATAATGCAACACATGTCATGCATGATACCACACATGTCACATGGGTCCCCTGCAATTTGTTATCTTTTATATGTTATCACTTCTGTTCTTTTGCCCACCTGTGTCATTGCTACACTGCGGCCTTCCTATGGGCCTGCCTGTACTTCTATGGCGCTGTACTTCTATGGCCCTGTACTTCCATTGGGCAGGGAGAGAGAGGAGAGAGAGAGAGAGAGTGGAGAGAGAGAGAGAGAGAGAGGAGAGAGAGGAGAGAGAGGAGAGAGAGGAGAGAGAGGAGAGAGAGAGAGAGAGAGGAGAGACAGAGAGAGAGGAGATAGAGAGAGAGAGAGAGGGAGGAGAGACACAGAGAGACAGGCATTTCCATTCGAGAACCAGCAACATGCATTGCCTCAGTACCAAAGGAATGCACAGCAATCTCTCAATATGCAAAACCTACAAACCTTGCAACTGTGACACACAAAGATGCAAATAGAAGACCTCCTCACAACAGTGGCCTGAGCGAGCGCACCTGTCAAGAGCATGGTTGAATAGTGTTCACATGCCATATTCTCACATCATTGTAGTCACTTGGCCGTGGATGACGCCGCAATGTTCCCTTTGCCCACCCAGTGAGAAAGCTGTGGGCCTTGAAGGAAATGGCATCCTTTGCATAGGCCGCATCAGCCTGCCGCACCACCAGCAGCCGATCCTCACGTGACATTTGGCGCCTGCCCCGCTCACCAGATGGCTGATCTGCAAAGGTGGCACGTAACATGTTGGCTTCACTGGCACCTCACACAACATTTGATGATATAAAACCCAAGCACATGCAAAAAATATGCCTGAAGCTGCTGCAAACAAAAACAATATCAATATTTTGATTGCAAGTTGCTAAACCGCCTGACCACTTGGTATGGAAGTGCATCAGACATATAGTGATACAGCAGCATCATGATGTCATTTGGCGAAGGGTTGGCACAGTGGTACTTGGCATGCTCCACCTCCTCCTTCTTGACATGCTTCCGCTTGAGGACCCGAAAGCCATGCGGCGCCATTGGACCAGTGTGATTGGCAAACTTCAATGGAATGTCATTGATCCATGCGTTCCAGTCAGCACTGTTGTCATGTTTGTAACATGTCTTTGAGAACGTCCCCTCCTCAAATGTGGCACGTGACAAGAACTGCTGGTACGTGTCCACCAAGCCATCTGGATCATCAAATGGCATGTGACTACACCGTGTCACAGCCTGACCGCCAGTGGCATCTAAGGGTCCATGTGTATGACCCTTCACAGGAAACAGGATCTTTGCTGTCACAAAGACATCCATGACAATCAACTTGGTGAGCCACTTCAAGAGCAATTGATTCTTGTTGCAGGAACACGTGTTGTCCAATATCAAGAAATAATGTCTTGGCAGGCGTCCACCAAACTTGTCATAGCATCTGCTTATGGCACGTGCCAAAGTTTCACAATGATTGCACGTGTCCTGAGTGTTAAGGTTGTGTATTTCCTGATGTGTTACGTGGCCCTAATCATTTTGACTTAATACATACAAAAAACAATGCCACAAAACAAGCCAAGCCTCTTTGAAACAGTCAGCATCAGAGATGCAAAAGTCAAATGTCATGCAGTGGATCCACACCATCATCACATGACAACATGGCCTGATCAGCTCACTGAATGCCTTTGAAGGCTGCATTTGCCTCGGGACTCTATGTTTGGCTTGGTCCAACGCATCTGAACGCATCAGCAATGATGGCAATGAGTAGAGCCAATGACCACATTAAAACAAAACAGTTTCATATTACAGTAAGTCACAAGCATAACCTTTCCGCTGACAAGCTCAATTACACTTTGTTGTATGGCAGCAACATCAGTCCCAGCAATCATTGCTTGTCGCGTTTGGCAAGCCATGGCATGTAGTGCGCTGTCAAACTGTCTGTCCTTCCAGTTTTGTAGAAGATGAGCAGCATACTGGTTCATCGCATTGACACGGGCGTCACATGACAGATGGCATCTGAGCTGCTTCTTATACCAGCAACAGGAGTTGCGCAGACCATGTTGCCCCTGAGCCTTTCCTTGACAGCATAACTTCTTTGTGACACATGCCATGCACGAACATGTTCGCCAAAAAACTTACTTGACAAATAGGAGACCAAATCTAGGAACTATTATGATCCAAGCATCTAAAACGTATCCAAGGCCGGGCTTGTCGCAATGCCCTCAAGAATGTGGTGAATGAAGGGGCAGGCAGCAAGTTGCATTGAGCACACCACTTCAACATGCATTCAAAGAGAA